AGATTACAACCAAAGACCTTCTAGGTCTGGGTGATCTGGCTGGAATACAAACATACCTTTAATCCAGGAGACAGAGGCAAGCAGATCTGAGTTCAAGGCCAGCCTTGTATATAGCAAGTTTCAGGTAAAGAAAAGCTTAGGTCCAGGAGTGGTGGTATACACCTTTAATCCCAAACAATAAAGGTAGTTTGTAGAAGGAAGTACCCCTGTTTGAAAGTGATGTCTAACTGAGTGGTAGAAACTGAGGAATCAGAGAAAGACTTGACAGAATAGGATGTGCCCAACTCTCACAATAAGAGAGAAGAAAGGAAAGCTACTTAAGGGACAATACACAGAGAGAGAGGGAAAGTGGTTTTACTGGAACAGTAATAGAGAGACAGATTGCAGAGAAAGCATTTAGTGAAGACTGAATAAGCCAGAGAATGAGAAGGAGCCAGGAGATTACAACAGATTGCTCGAGTTAGTTTGAAGCCAAGCGGAGCAATTCAGAGGCAGAGAGAAAAGCCAGATTGAATAAATTACCTGGGAGAGGAGTTTGAGCCAGAAAAGCTGAGTTGAACCAGCCAGCCCAGAGCTCAGAAAGAACAATAAAGGGTGAGCTTATTCAACAGTAAGTCTTAGAGGCTAAAAATATTCTAGGCCTAGGTTAGGTTGTACGGAGGCTAGATGCTTCCAGGATTGGGCCTAGGTTGGCAGAGGCAGTAAGCCTCCCAGACAACAATTGAAAGAGGAAAATAAAAGTTCCTTTTACAGGTTGCTCAGTGATTAAGAGGCTTTGCTGTGCAGCCATAAAGACCTGTGTTCAGGTCCTGGCATCCATGCAACAAATGATGTACTCCAGTACTATGAATGACAGAGACAAGGGGGTCGTTGGGGCTTGCAGGCTGCCAGCCTAGCCGAAAACCATGAGCTTCAGGTACAGGGAAAGACCCTGCCTCAAAGGAATAAAGCAGAGAATAATGTTTTCTGAGACAAGGCTAGCCTTGAATCCTCTGATCCACCTGCCTCAACCTACCCAGTGCTGGAATTACAGGCATGTGCCTGGCAGTTATTTTATAAATATGTTGGGGTTATTTTCCCTACCAAAAAATTACAGGTGTTCCCTCAGCAACAACTTGCTTATTGTTCCCGTACAAAACCATAGTACTGTAGGAGGATCCTGAGAGAATCTGCTGGACTAAGGAGTCAAGACTGGCACTCCTCCCACCCCACCCCCACCTCTCACCTCCTACCTCCCACCCACATCCTCACCCTTGTGATTACCCTCTGAGCTTCTCCTTGCCATTTCCAATGAGCACACATCACCTTTCCTATGGGAAAACATTGCATAACTCTTGAACCTATTTTACTATCACAACTAAGCAAAATACTGACTTCTGCCCTAAAAAGTGATCATATTTAACAAATGCTGAAAACCTCCAGTTACTCATAATTATCAAGGTAAGGATGGTTCCTTCGGGGTAAAGTCTGTTATAAAAGAAAACAGTGCTTGGGCAGCTTACGGAAATAAAAACTAAGTTACTTGACATTTCCCTTTAAGTCTTGTAGAAGTGAACAGGGGTCCTTGCTGGTAGCAAATGATAATTGCTCTATAAGTGAAAAAATATAAGTATAACATATCCTATACTTATGAATGAAGCCCTAACCTTAGGAACATGAGAATAGTTCTGGAAGGCCTCCATGTCTCAGGCAATTCCGGAAAGAGGAGGCCCATTTGGGGGTTTTGACACTATACTTTCCAGAGGACAAGGCTAAACTAAAAGAAAGTCTTAGGGTTTGTATATATCTTAGGGCTTACACTACAAATAGCAGCTGCAAAAATAAGAAAAATAGAATTACCTATAATTCTACCAACCTAACACATTAATTGCTTTCATTTTCTTTGTTCGCTCTTAGTACTTGATTTAATGCCATTATTCCATGCAGCTATAAATACAACATAGTTAAAACGCCGTGTTCTTTTTTTTTTTTCCACCCAACATTATATTATGAACTCTTTTGTCTTGAGGCTATTTTGGTTGCAAGGAACCAAGTCAAATTATCTCAGAATTAAAAGGTAGGAAAGTGTCATGTCAAATTATCTCAGAATTAAAAGGTAGGGAAGTGTGTGTGTGTGTGTGTGTGTGTGTGTGTGTGTGTGTATACATATCTAATTGTGCAGATTTCCAGGGGCGGGAACCGAGGCTCTAAGTCAGCTAAGTGTCATAGGAGTTGAGCTGGGACATGGAGAGCCACTGGCAGCTGAAGCTGCTGTCAGGAGCCTTGGCCAGGTGTCAGGGCCTCACCTGATACCTGCATTTGTGCTTTGTACTCTCATAAATTCCGAGTACAGCACCAGTAACATAACGGCCAGCTATGAGACCTCGCAGCTCTGGAGCATTCCAGACCTCTTAGGTTGGTTTCGTTCTGTTTTGTGTTTTGTTTTAAGAAGCTAAGGATGGAAGCCAGGGCATCACACTGTACCGCTGGACTCTGCCTCCAGGTCTCTAAAGTCAAGTGTCTGTGATCTTCTCCATGCAATTAGGCTGCTCAGTCTGCAGCCTGGTGTCCCCTACGTCAGACAGACACTCCTTGGTTCCACTGGCTGTGGCTACGGAGGAAGGATCACATGCTCAGTCTCTGCAGAGCAGCCAGGCCACCAGCAGGGACCTCCCCACCCCACCCCACCCTCTGTGCATGCACACTGACCTGCATGTGTGTGTGTGCGCGCGCACACACAAAAGCAACTCCCTCGTGACGTTTGTAGTTCTCAGTTTCATGAACACGTGGCAGATATCAAGCAGCTATTCTATAACCCCAGATCCCATTCCCCAGCTGTCCATCTGGGGTGACCACAAATAAAACCGCAGTGAGCATTTTCTGTACCTGCATCTTCCTTTTCACCTAAATTGTGTAAAATCTGGAGCTGCCACAATTAAAACCCGAAATAAACATTTAGGTAAGTACATCTCCCCTTTCACCTAGATTGTGTAAAATATTTTTAAAACTACATAGAGATTACATTTTCTGGATACCTCCAGGACATAAGCCATAACTTGCAATATTTTTGTTTCACATATACCTATATCTACCAGAGATGTGTACTTAGGTAGTTATAGGCCAAGTCATGATCTGTGACATCTGGGGTTTGCTTTATAAACACTCCAGGAAAAAAAAAATACAATGTTTAGGAGATAACGGAGTGAGAGTGGTGATGTGTTGATGATTGTTGGAGCTGCTGGCTGTGCCAGGCTTATTATGTACTATTGTCTTATCTTGCTATGTGTTTCCTACTGTCCTTCTCTTTTCCTCTCTAGTGGCTTTCCCTGTACACTTCCCTGTATGCCTGTGTACTGCCCTCTCCAAATCTCTCAGTAATTTACTCAGGTGCATTTTGCCAGAGAGTTTCTAACGAGGAAGAAATCACATCTCATTTCCACATGTTTATTTATTTCTTTTGTATGTGTGTGTTTGTATGTGGGCACAGGCATTCTACAATAGTTGTTTGGAGGTCCAAGGGCAACTTGCTGGACCCCCACCAAGGGGGTCCCAGGGATCAAACTAAGGTCCTGGGCTTGGTGACAGATGTCTTTACTGTTAAGTTTCAAACCCAGGACAAATGGCTGAGGTGCCTATTTAAATATCAAAATGGACCTGGCCACCAGGTTCTCCCCACATCCCTCAGTTCCTACCTGTTACAGGGCTCTCCAGGTTGGCACACCCCCCCCCCACCGTGAATTTTCCAGCCCTGGGGGCTGGGCTACCCTTCCCTATATAATCAGCCATTGTGGTTGCTTGCCTTCTTTGTACCTTTGAACCTCCTGGTTGCTGCCCCTGGTTCTCCTCTCTCCCTCTCCACCCCACCCCAAATGGCCCAGCTCAGGAGCATGTCCACACCGGACTTTACCATCTGTCTCTGCTGCTGGCTATGCTCTCCCATATGTCAATAATAACCTTTCTCCTCCTCCATACCTAGGAGCGGTCGCATTTCCTTTCTTTTCCTTTTTATTTCTATTGTTCATTCATTTAGCAGCTGCTACCTGTCACTGCACAATTTAGTTTTTCCCTCGAGTTGACAGATGGTTGGAAACTTAGTGCTCTGGGGAATCACTGTATTCTAGAAGAGCAGCCAATGGCAAAGGGGGGGGGGGTGGACAGTGGCGTGGCAGACACAGGACCCAGCAGGCAGTGCTGGAGAGAGCACTTGACCACACACAACCCCTTTCCTGTCTTTCTGCCTTGCAGTTTTCAGATTTTTTTCATCTAAACTGGAAGCTACATTTGCGTTTATTTTTTTTTTTAATTAAGTGAAAAATGTATATATTAACAGATACGTATTACACACAAGAGCTAAGTGAGAGTGTGGCGCGATGAATCTGAAGTCAGGAAACACAACACCAGGTGGTTCCTGACTTTCTGGTGGAGCAGGGCATGGGAATGCCCTGAGGCTTGAAGACAGACTGTATAAGCTTGACCCTGTGTCTTGAAGGGGGTGGGATGTTCTCAGATCTCCCATGGTGCCCTCTACATTGCTCTGTATGGTTTCCACCACTAGGCTGGAGGTTGGGGGATGAGGGAAGGAATTCTGGATTTTTTTTTTCAGTGACTAGAATGCAATTGGACCTCAGTAAACATCAAATGAATGAAAGAGAACACGATTTTGTATCAGTTTTTAAACACCCTTGTCTTCTCCTCACAGTGCCCTCTTTCCCCAGATCCTCCCAGGATGCTCCTTCCTCAGCCCTGCTCCGAAGATTCCAGATGGGAAAGTAAGAGCTTCCAGGAAGCCTCCGCATAGACATGAAAACCTCCCAGCATTACGTCCAGGGCAGCGTGTCCTGTGGAGTGCAACCCTGCATCCGGGTCACCAGGATCTGACTTTGTCATCAGCTAGCTCCTGCCTTTAAACTAGGACAGCTCAGAACGGGTTCTCTAAGCCTAACTGCCGGAGGGTTTCCAACCATCTGCTGACAAGGAATCTCCCACAATAAACCTAGCTCAGAGTCGACTGGGAACCCAGCTGATGAGCAAAACCTTTATTATCGGGCTAGCAGGGTAAGAGGGTAGGGTCTGGTTGGGTTTGGGCCATCTTTCCACGAGGCCCCTCCATTGGCTTCTACAGCCGAGGTTTCCCTCTGGTTACCCTTGGCTCGCCTTGAGGAGGATTCGGGGTGGAGCCAGAGAATGCAAAGCGAAGTAACCTGGAGTGGCTGACCCCTCCCTTTACAGGAAGTCCGGGCAGTTCGCCTGATCTGTTGTCGTTATTTTTTCGAAGTCGATGTCATTAGAAGTGAGGATATCTTTTAGGTAGGTCACTGTTTCTGGAGGGAGGTAAGGGTTTCTTCCCAGGATCCAGACGTAATCCACGTGGAAGAGCCAGAGCACGGTGGTGCAGGAGTACACGAGGGCGTAGCTGTCGTAGTCGGTGGCCAGGATCCAGTACGGAGAGAAGGGCATCACTGAGAACCAGAGGCCGCAGCGTGAGGAAGGAACAGGGCGAGAGAAGCCTCCTCTCCAGGGCTCTGGGAACCCAGTCCCTAAATCCGTGCTTCTTACTTCCCTCCCCTTCTCCACCTTCAGACCTTCAGGGGGTTGACCTTTTAAAAAAGTATTACTAATATCCCTGCCTTAGTCTCCTCAGTGTTGGGGTTGCAGGTGTGTACCACCGCGCTTGGTATGGAAACACCAACACTCCCCAGTGATTCCAGTGTGTGGCAATAGTCAAGACCCTTTTCTATGCCCTCCCCCACCAGCGTAACAGGGAAAAGGCGCGCTGGATGACTGGGGAGCCAGGGGGCTCCTTGGGCTGGCTGGCTGCACCAGCCTGGCGGTGTGAAGAAGCGGAGGCTCTTCCGACGTAATCTCAGCAAACCCTTCAACTTTAGGAATGTGGTGTGGTAAATCAGGCAGCGGTTGCACACGCCTGTAATCCCAGCACTCACGAGGCAGAGGCAGGCAGATCATTGTGAGTTTGGGGCCAGTCTGGTCTACAGAGCGAGTTGCAGGACAGCCAGGGCTACACAGAGAAACCCTACCTTGAGACACGCCACCCCTCAAAAAAATGTGATGTGGCGGGTGACGGTGGGTTATAAGCTTGACTGCCTGACTTCCTCCCTTCTTTCCTTCTTTCTTTCTTTCTCTCTCTCTCTCTCTCTCTCTCTCCCTCTCTCTCTTTTTGATTTCTTTGTTTGAATGCTCTGTCTGCATATATGCTTGCGTGCCAGAAGAGAGCATCAGGTCCCATTATAGATGGTTGTGAGCCACCACCGTGGTTGCAGGGAATTGAACTCAGGACCTCTGGAACGGCATGAAAGGATGAAAGGATGGGCTTGTGTGCACTCATGGGTGATGCTTGTTTGGATTCCAGAGAGCCCACTCCCTCCACCCAAAACAGTAATGGTTCCTGCTTGCCAGGTCAGCCTGAGAAGATGTGTGATAAAGGAGGCCTGTGCAAGTGATGGGCATTTGCCTAGGTGCCAAGGGTCCCACTAATTGCATGGAAATGTAGGCCCAGAGCACCAGCCACTGAGCTTCCTCCTACCTTTGAGTTTCTTTTTATAGAAACGGAAGTGGAGGGGTGCTGAGAAAAGAAGGTGGATGTAAGCCTGGATAGACGGTTGGTTCTGAGTCGCCTTTTGGCACTTGAGGTCCTTACATGGACACACACACACACACACACAAACCTCACGAGTGTGTGTGAGACATATCATCATATGTCTGCTATTGGTAAAGTTTGTCACTCTGCATTTGAGTTTTGGGAAAATATCTCTCCCATCTCTTAGCAGCACCAAAGGCTCTTCTATCCACCGAGACATGAACATTTTGTCTTTCCCTCACCTTGTCTGTCTCTCAGGAATAAATTTACCCAGCATTTCCTCTTAATGCAGACAGCTTACACGTCTCTCTTCATTGGAAAATGTTGCCCTTCCCCTGTTGCTCATGAATGCTACAGTGCAAATTCTCTGCTTGGGGGCCTCCTTAATTCTATCCTGTACTTGCTGTGCCTTCCAGGCTCTAGACGTCTATATAGGCCTCTCCCATGTCACTTTCTGTATTTGAAACATCCATCTTTCCCACAGTCTCCCATAGATCCTAGAAGGTCCTCCACAACCGCTTAATCCCATTTGTGCTGATGAGGTTGATTAGTTGTTTTTTTTTTTTTTTAATTTTTTTAAGAACTTGACACAAGTTAGAGTCGCCCGGGAGGAGAGACCTGCATTTGAGGAATTGCCTCTATCCGATTGGCCTGTGGGGCATTTTCTTGATTAATGGTGAATGCGAGGGGAGGGAAGGGGCTCAGTCCACCATGGGTGGTATAACCTTGGGTAGGCAGTCCTGAGTTGTATAAAATAAACCAACTGAACGAGTCATAGGGAGCAAGCCAGTAGACAGTGTCCCTTCATGATCTTTGCTTCAGTCCCCTCCCTGGCTTCCCTCAGTGACGGACCATAACCTAGAAGATGAACACCCCCCACCCTCCCAATTGCTTTTGCTCAGCGTCTTATAGCAACAGAAAGCCATCTAGAACACCTTTTATTCCAAATGAACCTCTTTGTCCTCAACGTCCTCAGCCTCTCTTTTAGCTCTGGTCCCAGGCCTCCTTCCATAGCCTGTGCGTACGATACTTCACACTTCACGTGGTGAAGGCACAGCCTCAGTTACCGTAGAGACCCCAGAATTGAAGGGCAAATAGAGAGGAACCGAGGCTTATCACCTTCGCTCCCATCCCTCTCCCTTTCCCATCCATGCTATGGGGAAAATTCTCGAATGAGGGGTTGAAGAGTTGGGTTCACTCCTAGGTGTAGCTCCAATGAGCTCTGTGCCTATTCGTCTTACTCAGATTCCCTCCATTCCAGCTTCCTTGTTTGTAAAAATGACAAGAGAAACAAATATGCACAAAGAAAGCCCTTGACTCTGCACGGAGCCCCTCTAGTCTGTCTTCGAAATGCCTGTTCACCTGAAGGCATTGCTCATAGCCACACGTGTGGGAAGAACTGCTTTATCCTTCCAGCATTTCTTTCCTGGTTTACAAGTAAGAACTCCCTCCCCACCCTACTCTAGGGACCTGACTGTGTAGAGACAGAAGGGGCTGGCAGGAAGGAGAAGGATGGTGATTTCGCTTGCAGAGAGTGACTTTAGTGTCTGCTCTGTACGTAGGAAGAGGGGGCTCGCAAGCATTTCCAGCAAGAGAAAACCTCACGGGTCTGAGCTGAATTCTCCAGCGCATCTACAGTGGCAACAAAACTAACTGCCCTCTCTGCTGCCTGTGTACATTCCCCAGAGGGCAGTCATCAACTGAGTGACTAGAGAGCCTTCACCCTTGCCTCTTGCCTGTGAGCTTCTGCAGAGGCCGATTGTTCTAACATCTAGTAATTTGGGGGCCTCTCTTTCCAACGAGATCAGACTGGATTCCCCTTCCTCCTCATGCCGCATAGGCTTTTCTGTGAGCCTTGTCTGCCAAAACACCAACTTTCCTGGTTCCTCCTCAGTGTTCACATAGGATGTCAGCCTGTCAGGACACGGCTGGCTCTGTTTTGCCCATCATTGCATCCCTCTGTATCCCAGTGCCTAGGCCAGGGAACAGCACAGGGTAGGTGCACAGGAAGTAGTTGTGCACTGAACTGAACCCTGATGACAGGGCTCAGATGTGCTTGAACACAGGGCTCTGTCTTCCCATCTGCAGATCTCCCGTGCCTGATGCTTCCTGAGGGAAGTGGATACTTACACTCAAAAAACTTGACTCCCAGCTTGGCTGGCTCCGAGAGGTTGCTCTGTTTGGCTTCACCTTCAATTTTGTTCACGGTTCCATCAGCTCTTCAGTGAGTGAAAAAAAAAAAAAAAAAGAGAAAAGAAACAAGGAAAGGTTGGGGAGAGTAAGGAAGAGAGATATGGAAAAGGAAGTACATACAAACAAATTAAAAACCAAAAATCAATGAAAGTCAAGCTTTGCTCCCCAAGGGCTCCAGCAGCCAGCACGGTAGTGTCTGGTGTGGGAGGCTCTTGAACCAGCCAGACCTGGTTCAAAACCCTGTCCTTCCCTCTGTCTGTGACTGTCTGAGATTCAGTAGAGAAAGACAGAGTCGGTGGACAAGAGGCAGCTATGGCCACGCTTAGGGGCTGGATTCTATAAGCCCTTGCTTATAGAATACCCTGGTTTTTGGACTGTTGGCCATTTGCCTTCCAGGCATTTCCTGCCCCTAGGCTTCAAAGAGAAGGGATAAATGGGAATGGGGAAAATAGACAAAACAACCCCCCTACAAGATTCCTCTCTTTGCCTAGGAGAGGATGACAAAGAAACAAAGGAAGGAGGAACTAGCTCACTGAAAATAATGCAGAGCAGGAAGGAGTCTGGTGGTATTTCCCATCACCCCTGTGTTGCACAGAGGCAATGAGGAGACCCGGCCACTGTGATTCAGCCCAGTTCTCAGAGACACATTGTGAGGAGACACGCATCTTCTAACTGGTCCCCCAACACTTAGCAGGGGCAGAGCCACTCTTTCTTAGCGGTATATAAAATGGTGGCATATCTTAAGTGTGCTGGTCTTGGAACCAAGGGAGTACTCTGGCCCTTCACAAGGATCTGGCCCATTTCAGGCTAATTCCCAATGACCCCCTGAACCCAGAGGACAGGGAAAAACTTCAGAGAGGACAGAGAAGGGAGGCACCTGGAAATCAGAGTGCTCCCCTTCAGGAGGTAGAAGAGAGCTGCCTGTGCGTTGGTTCTCAAGCAGGGCAATCAGGAGAGCTAAGTATGTATGAGGAAGTCAGTAGGTGCGTGCTGTGCGGTTGGACGTGAGGGATGCTCTAAAATCCAGATCCTCAGCAGCAGGTTAGGGAGGTTAGGAAGGCACTCTCATATTCCCAATTGCATCGTCTGTTTGTTACCACGTAGGACCAGGCACCATGCCTCACTGTCTCCCTGGAAGATGGTCTGATTCCCTCTGCAAATGGTAACTTAGCAACAAACCAGGCTCCTCTCCTCAATGCTATCATTTGTGTCTTGTTCCAGAATAGTTGTCAAAACACCCGTCTTTGATCATAAATGCACCAAAAAAGAAATGCATTGGTATTTTCTTTTAAATATGATTTTATTGCATTAATTTAGTGTTTGTGTGGGGGTGGGGGTATGCACATGTATGTGCCTGTGTGTTTACTCCTATCGTGACACTAGTGTCATAAGCATAACTTGTGGGGATCTGCTTGGAGGCAGACCCTTCTACTATCTCACGGACTCCAACCCGTGTTTTCAAGTAGCAAGAGTTCAGCCATAAAAAGGTCATGTTTAATTAGATGATTATCACTCGCCAGATACAGTTGTAAGAGCTTTACGCCTTTTACCTCATTTGATGCCCAGGCAGCCTCAGGGACGTTAGCTCTATTGCTACTGGCTGCAGAACACACCTTAGCTGACCTAAGATCCCATTGCGATCTGCTCTGAAACTAGGCTGCCAAGCGCCAAAGCCTGATTCCTTCCCCCTGGGCCAGCTCTTTCAGGCCCTAAGTTCTTGAACACAGTCTGAGAGAATGCCCTTGTTGCAGCTCCCTGTACGTGGAACATCATGGGCTTGGGATCTAGTGGGACATAATATCTCATTGAAAACAGGTCATTACTGCCACGAGGTAGTAGATCTGAGTTCAAGGCCAGACTGATCTACAGAGTGAGTTCCAGAACATCAAGGGCTATACAGAGAAACCCTACCTTGAAAATAAAATAAAAATAAAGGCCATTACAACCTGCCTGCTATGATCTGGATAAATGTTTCCCAAAGGACATGGTAAAGGTTTGGTCCCCAGGATGGTGTTGTTAAGGTAGACATAGAAGATGAGACTGAGAGAGGTCTGTAGGTCACTGGGGGTGTGCCTTCAAAGAGGATTGTGGAACTCCATGCTCTTCCTGTTTCTCTTTCCTTTCTTGTTTTTGTTTTTGTTTTGTTTTGTTTTATTTCTGCCTTCTACCAGGAGGCACCACCTCCACCAGAGTCACAGGGAACAAGGCCCCTTGATTCCAGATGGGAGCTTCATGAACTATGGCCCAAATAAACCTTTTCTCTGGATTCCACTGTGAGGAGAAGCAACTAACACAGGACCTGTAACATTCCTGGGAGATTCCTGGCAAAGGCATTTCAGTTCCTGCGGTCAGCCTTTCCTGCAGCTCTTCCCTGGGGCTCCAAAATAAGCTGGAGTTATGTCCAAAAGGAGCTAGAGGCCCTCAAGCTCCTTCCTGCATTTCTCTGGTTTATGCAGGCTGGGAGTCAGCCGGCTACACTCTGGCCCACAGGGACATTAGTGGATGGCATCATGGTCACCAAAAGCCTCTGTGGACCTAGCAACTTGAGCTCTGAGTGTAGCTGTTTCCCTGGTGTTGAATACCATCCTCAGATCTTATAGAGAACAGAAAGAGCAAGCCTTCATCCCCAGCCTTTTTAACTTGTCTCTGTTCTCTTCATTTCTCCTTTCCTGGGTTCAAATCTAGGCTTCCTCATGTATCGCTTGTGTGGTCCTTGAGCAAGCTGCTTAACTTCTTTCTCTGTACCTAAGTTTCTCATCCATGAGGGTTATAATAGTATCTACTTTTGCTATGTCATGGGAATTAAGTAAATATATTTTCAGAGAGGTGATTGTGGGGTTGGGGGTGAGAGTGCCTTGCATATAGGAAATACTTAAATGTATTTGTTGGTGTTGTGTAACCTTTGTTGGTGGAAGGTAAGGGAGAAGGACTTCATCCTGGGTCTCTTCATGTCTGCTCTCCAGAGTGCAAAGATGAGGATCAAATAGCAATGTTCAGTGCACTTAGTAATAGAAGAACATGCTTCTAAAAGACATGCTATCTATGCTAGAGAGTACATGGTTCGGGTATCTGAAGAAAAAGAGATGCCTAAGGCTGGAGATGTGTCTTGATTGGTAGCATGCTTGCTTAGCACATCAAAGGTTCTGGGTTAACCACCAGTACTGCCCAAACAAGGCTTGGTGCTATGTACTTGTAATCCCAGCACTAAGGGGGACCAGAGATTCCAGGACCTTGGCTATACAGTGAGTTGGAGGCCAGCCTGGGCTACACAAGATCCTGTCTCAAAAGAAGAGAAGAGAGAAAACAAAAAGAGGGAGGGGTCCCTACCAGGGAAGGAGGCCGGAAGTCGGATACATTGCCATGGGACGAGATGAGACTCCAGTTCCCAGAATATTTGACAAAAGGTGATGGCCTCTGTGAGTAGATGAACAGAAAGGGCTTCTCTCTTGGTCTGGAGGCCAGATGGCCCAATGCCCTTTGCTGCCAGAGACTCCATTTTGCAATGAGAGCAGGGGCGCTGACTAAGTTACCGTTGACTCCTCACTGCCTCTCTCAGTGTCTGGTATTCAGTAGGTGCTCGTCAGCGGTTAAAGAAGGCAGCACACACATTCCAGCCCCGACCATCCTGCCTAGCTTGAGTAACACACACCTCCTCCCTGCCCCTGCCTGCTTGGGCACAGAACAAGGCCATCCCAGGCAGGCCTGCACGGTCGCTCACCTCATCTCCTGGTTCAGGACTTTGATGTTTCCATTCTCCATCAGGGAGTAGTTGGCTTGAATGCAGTTTCCTTTCTCAAAGCTCGCCGGGGTCTTCTCAATTTCGTACCATCTTCCAAGATACTGCACAGACAACAAGCAGAGCAAAACCCAGGGGCTCTCTGGGGACCTGCTGGCTCTTCCCCATTGTTGTCTTAGAAGCACAGCCCTTTCCAGGGGAAACCAGGCCAAATGGGCCACCTCGTTCCCAGCCAACAGGGCAAGATAGTGTTTCAAATGAGAATAAGAGATTCGGATGTGCCGGCACTGCTTGCATGCCACATTCTGTTCCTAAGGGCCTCTTTATTTACACAGGCTCTCAGAGTTCTCTCTGGTCAAAACTTGTGTGAAATTCCAGCCTCTGTGAAAGGAAGGGACTGTCTGACTGACGGAAAATACCTTTTACCTCCAACAGCTGATAATCCTACAAGGCATCTTGAATTTTGTGTCGCTCAGACATGTGGGCTGTGGAACCACTTCTGCTTGGAGTTGGTTACTGTACCAACTTATAATCTCTGCAAAGAGCAGTTTAATAATATTGAGCAGAACTAAAAGTACATGTTCTTTAGCCCAGCAATTTAACTTTTGGGAAGTTATCTCCTGTTGTTAAAAACAAACAAACAAACAAAAACCATATCTGTAAGTATAAGGTTATCTGTTGCAGTTCTGTCTGTAACAATAAAATGCAGGAATCAGACTAGCGGGGAGCTGGGGAAAATAAATGATGGTGAACATATGGGATGAAACTTTATACAACCCCCTTTTAAAAAGTTGCATGCAGTTACCTCGAAGGTTATCTAAAGAATTAAGAGCAAAGAGCCAGGCTTGAAAGGGCCAGGGATGTGCTTCAGCTGCCTTTGCTGTAACAAGGAAAAGCTTATTGTATGGGGCGTCTTTTGTTGCTGTGATGAGCTAAAAGCAGCACAGATTTATAACTTATGGTTCTATAAGGCAGACTCCGATCCTAAGCTCCCTGGGCTAAAATTGAGATGTGGGCTTCCTCCCCTTCCAGAGGCTTTGAGGGAGAGGGGTGTCCTTGCTTTTTTTCTCCATGTTACATAGGCCACCTGCTCTCCGGACCGGGAAGCTCTCCATTTTCAAAGTCACCGAACATAGGGCAGGCCCAACAAGGCACCTCTCTGACTCTCATTTCTTCATCAAACCTCTCTCTCTGACCACATCGAGGAAAGGTTTTTCTGCTTCTAACAATATATATGATTAAATTGGGTACACCTGGATAACCAGGTTAATCTGGCCACCTCAGGTCACCGCTGTAGAATCCCTTTATTCTTTGGAAGGTAACGTGTTCACAGGTTAGAAAACAGGCAATGGACATCTGGAAGCTATTTTTTGCTTATCACAATCTTATACATATTTGCTTGCATAATGTATACATCGTCTAAAACTGTGTATATACAATGTGTTGTTTTTACTGGTTGCTCCTGGGGGAGGAAAATGAGGAGACGAAGGGAAACTTCACTGGAAGTTCCTTTGGACCTTTGGGGTTTGGGTTTTGTCCTCCCCACCCCCACCCTCCATGATGGAGCAAAGACTTTACACTAGGCAGATATGCTATTACTGAGCTCTGTGCCCAACTCTCTTTGCACTGTCAGCATTTTAAACTACTTGAGTGTATTTGCCTAGTCAAAATATTAATTACAGTCGTTTTACAAATTTTTAAAAATCTGTCACTCAGCAGAGAAAGTGAAGCACCCATTCGCCCTCAAACATTCAGAAGCTTCCCCAAAGTGACAGGGCTGCTTCAGTCACGTGACTCTGCTCAAGCACACACCCACATCTTTGACCAGACTTTTACTACCCTGTTAGTAAACTCCAACAGGCAGTTAAAAACACTGAAATCTAGCAGAGGCCTCTGATCCCAGAACCATGGAAATACACAAGGCAGGAAAATCAGGAATTCAATGTCAGCATCAGGTACATAGAGAGTTCAAGACCAACGGGGGCAACTGGAGACCCTGTCTCAAAAACAAAAGAAGACAAAAAATCTAACAAAATAGAACAACCCCCTCAAACCTGACCTTCACTGAAAGCACCAAAGAGTGAGTCTACCAGGTTTCATAGACAACCTGAGAAAAAATGTCATCCTGTAATCTGTTTAAAATAGTTCTTAACTATTCAAGTGACTTCAGAGATCCACAGTTAAGAGTAAGGAAGTATGACTTTCCAGAAACAAGTAAACTCAGAGGTCAGAGGTTTCCGTGTCATGTTTCCTCATGATCCCATATTCCTCTGTAAATCTTTCTCATTGAAGTTTCTACATAAGGACAATTCAGGGTCTGAAAAAGAAAACTGGGAAAGGCGCAAAGTCACCTTTCTTTACAGATGACATATTCCTGTACACAGAAAGTCCTATGGCACTGTTTGTGAGTGACTTCACTTGCCCTCATCTAAGATTAGAGGTGTGTGTGGCCATGCTTAGTTTATTTGGCAGTGGGAATCAAACTTGATTTTGTGCAAGGTACGTAAGCATTCTACCAACTGAGCTATAGCGCCAACCTCTGTATGGAATCCTAAACCTACACACACACACACACACACACACACACACACACGATCTAAATAATGAGTTCTGCAACTTTAAAAGATGCAAGATCAATAAACAAATACATTTCTGTATGTGATGAAAAAAATCTGCCAATGAAATTAAGAAGATTTCATGTATAATAACATCAAAAGTATAAACATAGTAAGAAATTTGACTTGAGACATGTAGGAACTTGTGTTTTGGAGACTAGAAAATGTTGGCAAGACAAAAAGGTAAATAGAAAGTAAGTGGGAAAGATAGCTTATGCTCATGAACAAGAACGGTTAAGATAGTGATACTTTCCACATTGTTCTTTATGTTATATGCAGATGTGGACAAACTGATGATAAAATTCATATGAAAATACAAGGGATACAGAATAGTTAGAAGAATAAAGTTGAATGATGCCTGCATTCTGAGTCACAACTTAGGACAAATTTTAGCAATTGAAACTGGAGTAAGTATAGACGTATAGAGAGACTAGAATTGAGATAAACACAGGGCTTAAACTATAAAACTCTGAGAAAAACATATAGGTGTAAACCATTATAGTCTTGGATTTGGCAACAGTTCTCTAGACTGAGCGACACCTACTGCACAAACAAGATTCTCACTAATTAGCTGTGTTTGTAGGCCTGATCACAGAAGAACAAGCAACAACAAAAAACATGGACAACTTGGACTTGATCAGGATAAAAAAAAAAAAAAATCTCCTGCTCCAAAGGGTATATCAATAAAGGCAAAAATCCCACCAAATGGGAGGAACATCTCTTAACATATCTGAGAAGAGATCTTCATCTATCCTAGAAAAAGAACATTTGGGTACCAATAATTAAAAGATAAATAACCCATTTTTTTTTTAAGGGCAGAAGATTTGAGTGGAAGATTTACACATGACCCACAAGTACATGAAAAGATACTTAATGACATTAGCCATCAGGGAATGGAGATCATGTCATTTAGCACCACTAAGAGGCTTGTGATAAAAGAAAAAAGAAAGAAAGAAAGAAAGAAAGAAAGAAAGAAAGAAAGAAAGAAAGAAAG